GGCGCGCGCGCGCGCCGACCTCCAGCCCTGCTAGCCGGGCGGGCGCTGGCGTGCGCGCAGACCCCCTGCCTGACACCCTCGCTGTCCAAGGTTCGGGTGCTTCTCATTGGTCGCCGCCTCCGCAGGGCCCGCCCCATGTGTGGGCCTCGCAGCTAGGGGCCAAGAGGCGCTCTTCTGGGCCGGGGTTGGGGTTCACCCGGAGGCGTCGAAGGGGCCGCCCGCAGCCCCTCCTTTCGGAAGCACCGGGTTCTAGTCCATGCCTGCACAGGAGTGAACCAGGTTATCAAGGGGAAGCGGTTGTCCCTCGCTGGACTTCAGCCGAACTTACCTGCACCTGTTGATTCCCTCTTTAAAACCAATCAATCCCGTGCCCTCAATTATGACTTGCCTTTAATTCGAGTCCCACGGACCCTCTGCACCCAACCCAGGCTCTGCGAGGCACTTGGGAGTAAGGATAGCCCCACGATGATGGGGGCTTTCTAGGTACCTTAACTCTGGCTTCTTCCTTCTGCCTGGTCACATATACCCATTTTGTGGAAGAGGAAACATTAGTTAAGAGAAGCACTTAGTGGCCTGCAGGGCTGGATTCACTTGGGGGCTAAGAGACCCAACAATGTCCTCTTGTCTCCTTGAGCCACTGGCACCCACAAGATCTGGCTTGCGTCTTCTTGGCCCTGCCAGCTGCTGGTGGAGACACTTGGGCAACTGCCCTGCAATTCCCATGCCTCAGCTTACTCAGAGAGCTGGTGGGAGGCTCAGCCACTCAGGCTGGTGATAAACAAACCAAACTCTGCCATCGAGTCCATTACGACTTACGGCAACCCTATAAAACAGTAGAACTGTAGAGAGGGAGGGGGAAATGAGCTGACACCAAGGGCTCAAGTGGAAAGCGGGTGTTGTGAGAATGATGAAGTCAACATATGTCCTAATGTGCTGGACACAAATGACGTATGTACGGATTGTGATGAGTTGTATGAGCCCCTAATAAAATGATTATTTAATTTAAAAAAAACAGTAGAACTGCCCCTCCTGTGGGTTCCTGAGGCTAAGCTTTTCCCCCTTGCTGATCAGCTGGTGGACTAGAACTGCTGGCCTTGTGATTATCAGCCTAATGCATAACTCACTAGACCACAAGAGCTATACAGAAAGAGAGGGGAAAAAAACGCACTGCCAAAGTCACTGCTGACTCATTAGCAACCCTGTAGAACAAGGTAGAATTGCGTAAGATTTCCAACAGTGGAACAGTATGTAATCTCCTATGACACCTGGTGGGTTCTAACAGCCAGTCCTTCTGTTAGCAGCGGAGTGCTTAACCACTGCGCCACCAGGACTCATCTCATAAACATTACAGACTAGACAACCTTATGGGGACAGTTTTCTCACTCTCTCTCAAACACACACACACACACACACACCCCTTAAAAACTGAAACAGGAACCCACTGTCATCAAGTGAAGTCCAACCCACATTGTCCCCATGTGGACTTCTCAAGATGAAATATTTATGGGAGCAGACATCCTCGCCTTCCTAGCGTGAAGCAAGCGGTTGGTGGGTTTGAACCACCGGCCTGGCAGCCCAACGCCTGGCTCACACTGTTCTCTGGGCATTGAACATCAGCTCGACAGCACGGACCATAGCAGCTCCTCAGCCCGTGCCTCCTGGGTGTGCAGGGAGAAAGATGGGCCCATTTTGCAGGAGGCTTTATTGAGGCAGAGGAAGACACCAGCTTGCCAAGGGCACAGAGACAGCAGGCCAGGGGTCTTCATTCTCGAGCCCAGCCTCGTCAGCGCTCTCAGTCTGGACTGGGAGTCCCGTTCTTCTCCCCACCTTGGCCCCAAGGAAAGGGCACAATAGCTCTGGGGTTCCACAGACTGTTTTCAAGCTCTCCAAACTAGGCAATCCCCTCATCCAGACTCTATGCTTACCTCACTATGGGTGGGTGAGGCATCAGTCCAATAACCACAAGGTCGCCAGTTTGAAACCACCGGCAGCTTCTTGGGAGATAAGTTTGTGCTCATAAAGAGTTACGGTCTCAGAAACCCACAGAGGCAGCACTAATGCTGCCCTGTAGGGTTGCTGTGATTCAGAATCCACTCCATGGCAGTGAGTTTCAGGATCCTTTCTTGGATGGAGCCCTGGAGGGACTATGGAGTAAGCATGGGATGAACCACAAGGTTTTTGGTTCAAACCCACCAGCTGCTTCTTGGGAGAATGTTGAGGCTGTCTGCTCCTGTCAAGATGTCAAGTCTCAGAAAGCTACCTAGGTTGGCTGACTCGGCTTTGACTCCATGTAGGGAGTGAGGTATCCTCTCTTGAAAGGAGCCCGCAGTGGTGCAGTGGGTTAAGCGTCATCATGAAAGATCAGAGGTCGGCAGTTCACACCCATTCCTGAGAGATGTTGCAGTCTGCCTCTCTGAGCATCGATTGGGTGCGAGGGTGCGAGTGTGTATATTTTCCCCCCAGCCCAAGTTGATACTAGGTTCCCAAACTTATTTTTCAAAAAAAACAAAAAACCTTCAGTGCCTCTGCACCCCCCTCCCCCCTCCCACTGTAGCCCATCGTCAGGGATAAAGTGTCCACAAACAGTGCCTGCCAGCAAGTGGATTCAAATTCACAGAGATCCTGTAGGACGAGGCAGAACTACCTCTGTGGGTTTACAAGACTGTGACTCCACAGGAGTAAACAGCCTCTTCTTTCTTCATCAGGGCAGCTGGCAGTTTTGATCTACTGACCTTGCTGTTAGCAGTGGATGTAGAACCACTGCACTACCACTGGCTCCTGACCACTGCTCCTTGGACAAAGTGTTAGGTATTTGCTTCTGCCAACAGCCCTGGGGAAAGCTTTGTAAAGAATCACAAGCTTGGAAACTCTTCGGGGCAGACCTGCCCTGTCCTGTAGCTCTGAGTCAGAATCCAAGGAATGACAGTCAGGTGTGTTTATCTGTTTTGTTTTGAGGGCAAATGGCTTGTCCACTCGTGTCCGCAGGTTGCCCACCCGAGGCTAGAATCTTGGATGAGGGGTGAGCGAGGTGCACAGGGGCTCTCCAAACCCTTCCTGCACTGACACTGGCCCCTCTCTCCTCCTAGCCCAGCTCCTGTGCCCAGACCCAAGCCCCCCCACCGCTCAATGGACACCCCCAGCCCATTCCCGTTGCCTTCGCATTTGCCCGCGGAGGAAGTCAAGTCTCCGGCCGCACCTCTTCCCGTTTCCCGGGGCCGCCGAGGCCGCCGTCCGGGGGGGCCTGCCTCCCCCAAGGCCAAGCTCTCTGGCCGGCAGGGCTGGCTCTCCAGGCCCGGCCAGGAGCCCCTGCGGCCCCCGGAGGTGCCGTCCCCGGTGGGCAGTGGCGGCGGGGGCAACAGCCTGCTGCTGATCGATGACCACGGCGTGCCCTACACTGTGTCCGAAGGGTCGGCGGCAGCGCGGCCCGAGGGCGCCGGCCCCAAGAAGGCGCCGCACTTGTGCCCGGTCTGCCTGCGGGCCTTCCCCTACCTCTCGGACCTGGAGCGCCATCGCATCTCGCACTCGGAGCTGAAGCCGCACCTGTGCAATGCCTGCGGCAAAGCCTTCAAGCGCTCCAGCCACCTGCGGCGCCACTGCAACATCCACGCGGGCCTGCGGCCCTTCTGCTGCCTGCTTTGCCCGCGCCGCTTTCGCGAGGCCGGCGAGCTGGCCCAGCACCACCGCGTCCACTCGGGCGAGCGCCCCTTCCAGTGCCCGGTCTGCCGCCTGCGCTTCGCCGAGGCCAACACGCTGCGGCGCCACGCCAAACGCAAGCACCCGGGCGCCCTGGGAGAGTCCCTGTGTCCCCCGGACCCAGGCCCAGGCCCCGTGGCCGAGCAGCCACCGTGGGACGACAGTGAGGGCATCCCGGCCACGTCGGGGACGGACCAGGAGGGCCCAGAGGGCAATCAGCCCGCCTGACCCTCCGCCCTGGCCGCCCTTCCCCTGGCCAAGAGTCCAGCGGGTGTTGGTCCCCAGCAGGGGGCGGCGAGAGTCCTGCTTCTCCTCTGGGGGGCAGGTGGGCACCCACATTTTGGGGTCCTGCTGCCTTCTGCCCCGCTCACCGAGACTGGAGGGTCCCTGGAGGCCGGTCTGCGGAAATAAATTTCTGCCTGCTGGTTCCCCGTGTAAACTAAGTGCTGGTGGAACTGGGCCTCCACCGCAAGTTCTGGGGGTCACGGCCTCATTACTGGGATGCCCAGGGGGGCGGGCAACCTGTGACCCACCCCTTCACAATCGGACACTCCTCCCGCAAAGGTTTCTCAGAAATAGGCATCCTGAATAGAACAGGGTCTGCCCTTGGCCCCCTCCAGCCAGGTACAGTTACACTGCACCCCCATATCCTAGTCCTGGGGTCCCACTGTTTGCAGAAGGGAACCAACTTGGATAGGATTTACAGAGAGGAGGGTGTGGCTTGACGGGAGGGCGGGGCTAAGGGCACCAGGGGCGGGGCTGAGACTGAGGGGTACAGCTCATTGGGCAGGAAAGTGAGAACTATGGGCGGGGCTTAGAAGAAGTTGAAAACAGGGCAGGGGCTTTCTGGAGCTTGGAGGTGGGGGAGAGAAATACGTGGGCAACTTAGACACACTGAGGAGCCCTGGGGGTGTATTGGTTCCGCATTGGGCTGCCCTCTGTAGGTCAGCAGTTCGAAACCACTAACCGCTCTGCAGCAGAAAGCTGAGGCTTTGCTCCCTTAAAGAAAGACAGTCTCAGAAACTCCAAGGGGCAGTTCTGCCCTCTCCTGTAGGGTAGCTGTGAGCTGGCATCACTCGATGGCAGTGAATGAGGAGCCCAGGTGACCTAGTGGTTACACCTGGGGCTGGCTGCGACCTGCAAGAGAAAGACGGGGCTTTCTACTGCCATGAAGAGCTACAGTCTTGGAAACCCACAGAGGCATTTGTACCCTGTCCCACAGGTCGCTACTTGTTACTATGTGTCAGAATTGACTCGTTGGTAGGGAGTTTGGTTTTAAGGAGCGAAGCTCGCTGCCTTCCAGTGGATCCCAGCTCAGCGATGCTCCAGGAATAGAGTAGAACTGCCCCTGTAGGTTTCCGAAGCTGGCGATCCTTCCTGGGACCAGAAAACCTGTCTTTCTCCCCAGTGTGGCGGCTGCGTTCTAACCGCTGACCTTGCAGTTAGCAGCCCCACCAGTGGGGCGAAGCGGTTGTTCCACTCTGTCCTGCAAGGGTGGCTGTGCCCCAGAATAGACTCAATGGCCGTGGGAAGTGAGTGCAGAAGGCATCGTGGTGGCGATGTAATGAACCAGCCAGCCACTAACCAAGAGGTTGTGGGTTCAAACCCACCAGCAGATCTACTGGAGAATGATATAGCGGTTGGCTTCCTCAAAAAATGTACAAAGTTTCAGGGCAGTTCTCTCTCTTCCATGATCACTGGGACTGAGGATCCACTCGATGGCACTGAGTAGGGAGCCCTGGTGACAGTGGGTGGCACCACTCCACTGCTAATCACAAGCTCCTTGCTTCAAACCCACCAGCTGCTCCTGGGGAGAAAATGTGGGCATCTGCTTCTATAGGAAACATGAGGGTGGGTCCACTGCAGTCCTATAAGGTTGCTATGACTGGGAATCCTGGTTTTGTAGTTGTTTCGACTGAAAACAACAACTGAACTCACTGCCATCCAGTCAACTCTATACATAGTGACCCTATAGGGACACTTGTGTAACTCTGTGTAGAGAGCCTCACCTTTCTCCCAAGGAGCTGCTGGTGGATTCCAACTGTTGACCGTGGGGGTAGCCCAATGCATAAGCACTACACAATCAGGGCTCCTGAGATCAAAGAGTAACGTCTTTCTGAGGCGCTGGCCTTAAAGGAGAAACTACAGTATTGAGAGCAGATTTTAGGAGAAAACTCCCCTGTCATCAAGCCAATTCTGACTTATAAGGGCCCAGAGGGCCCGGCAGAACTTCGCCTGTGGTTTTCCAAATCAACTCTATACATAGTGATCCTATAGGGACACTTGTGTAACTCTGTCCCTGCAAATCTTTATGGAAGCAGACGGCCTCCTGGCTCTCCAGCAGAGCACCTGGTGGGGCCCAACTGCTTACCTTGCAGTTAATTGCTCAACTCATAACCCACCAAAGCCACCAGGATTCCATTTTTGGAGAGGTGGGATTTAATGGCTAGTAGGGGTCCCAGGGTGGCATAATTGTTACTCCAGCCCTGGGGAGAATGAGGAGATTCAGTTCTTTAAGGAAAGACCCGGAGGAAAGGGGTGGGGGGCTAGGCCTGGGCTTGACTGCTGACAGTGGGGTGAGTCAGCAGGAGTGAAGCTTCTAGAACAGTAGTTCTCAAACTTCCTAATGCCGCGGCTCTTTAATACCGTTCCTCATGTAGTGGTGAACCCCCAACCATAAAATTATTTTCGTTGCTACTTCATCACTATAATTTTGCTAGTGTTATGAATTGGATGACCCCTGTGAAAGGGTCGTTTGACTCCCCAAAGGGTCATGACCCACAAGTTGAGAACCACTGTTCCAGTACATCTTCCAGAGCTAGGACATACAAAGCAAAGTGAGTTACAGTACACGGTGCTTCTCAAACTTAGGAGTATATCCAAATCACCTGAAAGGTATTTAAAAAAATTGCTAGCCATGCCCTCACCCCCAGGTATTCTAATTCAATAGGTCTGAGAGAGGGACAGTCCCAATAAATTGCATCTGTAACCAGCTTCCAGGGAATGCTACTGCTGCTGCAGTGGGACCCCTACCAACCCAGATGTTGAGAACCACTGCTTTAAGGGCATGTACTAGGTGGGTCCAGAAGGAGGATGGGGAACAAAGGCTGTCCTTGCTAGGCTCACCTGGATCTTGGATGAAAGCATACAATACCAAAAAAGACGTTTACCGGTGTTTCATTGACTATGCAAAGACAGTCGGCTGTGTGGATCACAACAAGTGGCTGATGACCTTGTGAAGGATGGGAACTTTGAAACAATTGAACTCATGTGGAACCTGTGTATAGACCAGGGGGGCAGCCATTCACATAGAACAAGGTAGTACTGCAAGGATTAGAGTCAGGAAACGTGTGTGCATCGGGGTTTACTCTCTCACCATACTTATTCACTCTGTGTGCTGAGCACATAATCCAAGCCTACACAAGGAAGAACACAGTATAGATGGGAAGAAGACTCACGAACCACCCGTGATCATTCAATCACACAGCTTTGCTTGCTGAAAGTGAAGAGAACTTGAAGCACATACCAATGAAGGCTTTGGTGTGGACTAAACTTTAGTATAAAGAAAATCAGAATCCTTACAACTGGACCGACCATACAGAGCATCCCAGTAAACGGAGAAAAGATGGAGAGATTTTTGCTTAGATCCGCAACCAACATTCACTAGAGCAATCAAGAAATACAACGATGCTGAACTTGACTATGCTGCAAACAACCGTTTTATAGCGTTAACCAGAGATGCCACCTTAGGGAGTAGGTGGACCTGACCCAAGCCAGGGCATTTTCATTCATTTCGTTTACCCTGTGAAAGCCGGACGAT